TTAGGATTGAAATTTTTAAAACCTCGAAACAACAAAACTAGAAGAACATGTAGGTGAATCTTCTGCATAATTTGGGCTTAGAAAAGCATTTGGAAGCCTAACATGAACCAGGAGCAAAAATCATAAAGGAAAAGGGAAAAGTTTTCATGAAAGGCCAGACGCTTTTCTATGACAAAGAGTGACGCAAGACTTGAAAGGCAAATGACAGTGTGTGTGTGTGTGGATGGGGGGGGATTAACTATAGGGGTGACAGACCAAAGGTTCATCTCATTAATATATGACTAATGTTTTAAAATAAGAAAAGCAGTGTCTGCACCACCCAATTAATTTTAAAAAATGGGGTTCAGGTAGCCCATTTACTAAAGGTTAAATACAGATGAGCAATAACCAATAAAGGAAAATTAATTTAATGAAACAAGAGACTTTTTTCGTTCTTGACTTGGTCAAAACCAAGAGTGCTAACAGCAGTGCCGAGCGGCTGTTGGGACAGGCGCTGGTGCACGGCCTGTGAGCCCAGCCGCTTGGTGTATCGGGTCCTGCAGGATGCAGCCCATAGGGACGTGCACAGGGACGAACAGGTACGGATAGATATTTCAGAAAATTAAAAGGAAGTAATGTACAGCAGGGAGCTGGTTGTATCAGTTACTCAGAATGGAAAGCTGGTCAGCTGTTTAAAATGCTGACGGATGAGGAGGGAAAGTGCTGATCATGTCTTGTCTAGGAGAGAAAATCTCCTTGAGCACATAATAGAGTATATTCCAGTCCTTCTCCACTCTGTCTTGCGTAGGTTTGTAAAATTACATGAACTTCACAATAGTTTTTTACATTTTATCTTTTTATAAGTTGTGCCTTATGGAACTTCAACTATGTCTTTCCCTCCCTCCCTTAATTGATTAAAACCTGGGACACTTTTACCATTGAGTTGCACCCCCAGACCTTTTATTCTTTTATTTTGAAACAGAGTCTTACTAATTTTCCCAGGCTGCCCTTGAACTTGCAATTCTCCTGCCCCGGTCTCCCAAATCACTGGGATTATAGGAGTCCACCACCGTACCAGGCTCATTTCCTTCCTTCCTTCCTCCCTCCCTCCCTCCCGCCATCCATTATTCCCTTTATATATATTTAGTTGTAGATGGACTCACTACCTTTATTTTGTTCATTTATTTTTATGTGGTGCCGAGGCTCAAACCCAGGGCCTCACATGTGGGAAGCAAGCGCTCTACCACTGAGCCTCAAACCCAGCCCCTTTTCTTTCTTTTTAAAAAATATCATTTTTTTCAAAATTTTTCCTTTATCAGTTATAAATAAAAGTTTATTAAATATAATAAGTCTGAATTATATTCAGTCAAACATGATTATACTAAAAGAATGTCTATTTTCTGAAATATATGAGAGAGAGAGAGTGAGTGTGTGTGTGTGTGTGTGTGTGTGTATTTAGTGGTAGTCATCTATTTGTCATATATAGTTATTGTTTTAATGCCTAAGAGGTGAATGTGGGTATCAGGAAGAGTGATTTATAATTTTTTTTTATCAAGATTGCCCAGGTAGCCTGGCATATTAGGTTGGCCCCTCTGCCCACACCCCACTGGCTTCTTGACAAAGGCCTGCTCTGGTCTTTCGGGGGTCACTAGAAGTTCATGCTTTGACCAAAGTATAAAGTACTATAACTAAGCATTCCTCTTTAAATTCAAAGAGCAGTCTTTTGATGACTTAATCATCAGTAATGAGAAAAGGGGCCCTCCATTAAAAATACATTCGTCTGAGAACAGTATTGTCAATACAGGGATAATCCAGAAAATATCAACTCCTGGTGTAGACCACGCACTCTGGGAAGGCTCAACAGCCCCGGGTGCAGGAGCTCACAGCCCAGTTGTCGAGGTGCGCATGCGTGCACACACACACACACACACACACACACTGACACACATACACACATGCACATGGTGCAGGGGATAAGTTCTGGGCGTCTGTAGAAAGTACCTAGGGGTCAGGATGGGAGTCACTGTGCCCAGTGTCCCACAGCATTACTGCCGATGGCGCGGCATCAGACAGGCCAGCCAGGCTCGCCACTCACTCGCAAGAGACCTTGGGCAAGTGACTTAACCTTTCAAAGCCCCAGTCACCTTACTGACCATAATTTATACCTGCCCTTCCTGGTATTATGAGGGTTTGATGATATAAAATATGAAAAGTGCATTACCAGTGTCCAGTGGATAAAAGTTAACTCTCTTTCTGCTCCTTAGTATCATAAATCCAGGTTAAATAGGTCAGTTCATGTTCTTCTTAGTGTTTGAATTAATTTGGACATAGACTAAACTGAAATTTATTATCTCATTTTTATGTGTGCTGGGGAATTCTTTGATCATTTTTTTTTTCATGCAGTCTTAACATACACATCCTGGTTTATGTGACTTTCTTGCTCTTTCCAACTAATAATTGGAAAATTATTTTAAAGGGTCATTTCCTGACAAGGAAAAAGACATATTATGATTTACTTCTGAAACAACTTGGAGAAAATAATCCCTCCTAATTTGAATCTATTTGTAGCATCAGGAGCTGAAGTCAGTAGTGTCACATTTCCAATCTGCTGTGGGAACAGATAGAAATTCTTTGATTGGTTAGTGACTGCATTTCCTGCCTGATAGGAAACAGATAGGTGGAAGTCTGATGGGTTAACAACCACAGGCTCTATGAAGCCGTGATAAAATCTCAACCCCACTGCTTCTCTGCGCTCTTGCTTGTTCACAAGCTGCACAGAACTGAACTCATGAACTGTGGTCAGGATGCTTGACCTAGCTTTGTCCACCCTGACCTCCCTCTTTCCTGGGGACTGGTTGACCAGCATGCCGGGTCAAACAGGATTGCTCTACTCAGCCACTTGTGCCAGCAAAGCCTGGCCTTTGGGACATGTTAGAGTGGTACCTCGCACTGGCTGAGGACCACAAGCAATTCTAAGGAGCCCAGGAACAGGCTGAGTTTGATTCTGGATCATCTCTGAAACAGGGCTCATTCCCAATGTGAAACTTGCCTTTGGCACAGGACTTGGGAATACATGTTGACTAGGAAAGGTCCTTTGAGAAAACAGAAGAAGAAATACTGAGGTGTATGAAAGATCATGCACCAGCCAATTGTGGTGGCATACACCTGTAATCCCAATGACTCGGGAGGCTTGCACAGGAGGATCACAGTTTTGAGGCCAGCTTCAGCAAGTTAGCAAGACCTTGCCTTAAAATAAAAAATAAAGGATTTGGGATGTAATAGTAGTAGAGCACTTTTGGGTTAAATCCCCAGTACCACCAAAAAAAAAAAAAAAAAATCAAGTACCACAGAGATTAGATAGTTTTTCAGTGAACACAAAACTCTTGTATTTGTGTCATAAAAGCAACTTCTAAAGTGTATATGTAGTAGACGATAATGTGGATAGTACCTTATTCTTAGAGCATATGTGAGTACCTTCACATATCTGGGGGCAATCTTCACAATCCACTGTGTGTTTACAAAAGGCTCTTAGGATTAAAACTACTTAATGTATTAAAACTACTTAATGTATTGATGTGCTACACTGGGCTTGGTAGTACATGCCTGTAATCCCAGTGACTCAGGAGTCACAGGTAGGAGGATCACAAGTTTGAGACCAGCCCCAGCAACTTAGTGAGAGCCTAAGCATCTTAGTGAGACCCTGTCTCTAAATTTAAAAATTCCAAAAACCAGGGGCTGGGGTTGTGACTTAGAGGTTAAGCATCCTGGGTTCAATCCCTAGTACCCAAAGGGGGGGAAAAATTCTGCACACATAGTGATTGATTGAAAATATTAACTCTTGTTTCATGTCAACACACTTAAAGAGTTTGTTTTGCAATCACGATGTATAAGGGAACATTAAAATTGGGTTCAGCGTTGCATAAATAAAAAATATACAACCAAAAGCTTATTGGTTTAAAAAAAAAGAAGCTTATTGGTATGTTACATCATTTCTAACGCAAAAGGATTTCCAAATGTCATGCAGGATAAAACGATTAAACTGACTCCTTCAACCAACATTTACTAAGTATTTTGCACTAGAAACCAGGATTACAAAGATAAAGAGATTATTATAGTCTCTGCCATCAGGGACTCTCATTCCAGTGAGGGAAGCCGAGATTAAAGCCAGTAGTTTCTGCAGGTGCCTAGTAGTGACTCTTCTAAGCACTTGGGAGCACAGAGGAAGGAGAGAATAATTTTAATTCTCTTAACGATGGGAAATGGATGTTCTAAAGCAGCCCATTTTGAAGGGTAGTAAATGTTCCCCTATGTGTTTAAGAAGCTTGTCACACCTTCACTCTACCATGGTATAGTGCGTGACGATGCCCCTCCTGGATGAGGGAACTGTCCTCGTGCCCCTGTGGGAATGGGGGTCCTGCTGGCAGCAGCAACTCGCTCCACCGCGGGCAGTGGGCAGCGAGCAGCAGTTTTCAGCACAGGGCTTGGTGCTGTGGGGGCTCACAGAATGTGCACGACATCATCGGAAGCCCTGAAGCCAGACAGGGAGACCAGACAGGTCATATTTCATGATGCCTTGGATGCTAAGTCCTAAGAAGAAATGACCAAATTTGAATGGTGCTCTCATCTTGCCCACTTACAGTGGGAAAGAAATTTCAATGCCCGGAGAAATGCCAAAGGGGAAACTATGGGGTCGTAAGTTTATCCAGGCACTGACTCTAGAAGTAAAGATGAAATTGCAAGCCGGGCGCAGTAGCACGGGCTGTGGTCCCAGCAGCTGGGGACACTGAGGCAAGAGGATCACTCAAGCCCAGGAGCTCAAGACCTGCCGAGGCAGCATAGCGAGACCCAGTCGTGCAGGTGGAAATGAAGAAATCGCACCGATTGGTCCCTTAAAACTGAGCCCTACGTGTCTCTGGCATTCGGTACACTCTCAACATGGGAGAGGGCACAAGAGAATGTTAGCACACATACGTCAGGAAATAAGCATTCTGGTTTTAATTTTTGTGTGTCTTGTTTTCTAGGACAAGAAGTGGTTTTCAAGTGCCTTGGGGAAGGAATTCTTGAAAAAGCCTTTCAGGGGTATAATGCGTGTATTTTTGCATATGGACAGACAGGTAAGAAGTTGCTCTTATTAGTCAATGATATCAAATGTGCGTTTTTTTCCCCCCCCTTTTTTTTTTTTGGTGGTGGTGCTGGGGATTGAACCCAGGGCCTTCTGTATGCTAAATGTAAGTTCTACCACTAAGGAGCTATACCCCCAGCCCTAAATTTGTGGGTTTTTTTTTAACACTTAAAAACTGGAAAAAAAGTTTTTAACAGAAGCAACAGAAAAATGCTTTGACTTCATGGATTTGAGCTGAATCAGATGATCCAAAGAAATCCCTTTTTGAAGGTGCCACAGATCTGGAAATGGAGTAATTTCAGTGTTAACATTAAGTGTCATTTTCCTGAATTATAGTGTTAACCTGAATTTGAACTAGAAAAATAATGACCAGTTTCTTGATATAAATGTTTTAGTGAAAACTACAGAAAACCCCACGGAGCCCTCTCCAACGGAGGACTTTTCCTAGGATACAAAACTGGCGTTGGAGCATGCAGCCAGGGCTGGTGGAGCAGGGGTCGAAACAGACAAAACCAGACATACTCATAGCTCCGCCGTGACCTCTGAGCCCTGACGATTTCAGTTATAAGATGGAAATAAATAAATAAATCATCAGAGAGGGGGCTTCACATCTTATGATAACTAGGAGAATCCAGTGGGAGCAGATGTCTGATGTAATGTATGGTAGGTATGACAGTAAAGTACTGCTCCTGTTACTTAATGTATAGGTGGAAATTTACTTTTATTTATTTTTTATTTTTTGGTACCAGGATTGAACCCCAGGGTGCTTATCCCTGAGCCACATTCCCAGCCATTTTTTATATTTTATTTAGAGACAGGGTCTCACTAAGTTGCTTGGGGCCTCACTAAGTTGCTGAGGCTGGTCTTGAACTTGTGATCCTCCTGCCTCAGCCTCCCTAGCCACTGGGATTGCAGGTGTGCAGCACTGTGCCCGGCTCCCTGAGCCTTTGTCGTGGTTGTGTTTGTAACATCCACCCCTGACGGGGGCTTTTTGGATCTCACAGTGAGAGGCAGACTCAGGTACAGGTGTGATGGAAAGAAGAGTAACTGTGACACCCAGGGTCTGCTTTTGAGGACCAGGTTGATCCCTTTTCTCTCTGCAGCGGTGGCTGGAATATGGCGAGAACTTGTGGGCCGATGTGTCCTTGTCACCCCCTATTGCCTTCTTCCCTTTGCTTGTCCTTCTCCAGGTTCGGGAAAGTCCTTCTCCATGATGGGCCATGCTGAGCAGCTGGGCCTCATTCCAAGGCTGTGCTGTGCGTTATTTAAAAGGATCTCTTTGGAGCAAAATGAGTCACAGACTTTTAAGGTCGAAGTATCCTATATGGAAATTTATAATGAGAAAGTTCGGGATCTTTTAGACCCCAAGGGGTAAGTCATTGAAATTAAATTTGCAAATAGGAGTGATTATTTTAAATGGTGTCAGAAGATACACAAGCGGGTATTTGTGTTTCAGCCCTTGGTCGCTACTCTGGGGTTAGTTCATTTACCGAGATAAATGTGGCTTCACAACACCTGTATATTGGTATACCTAGTAGTTTGCATTTGATTTTTCCTGCGTTCATACAGAGTTGCTCAGATATGCCATTTAAAGTACTGTTGATATCATATCTGGACATCCTGAGCCATTCATGGAAGTTGAGTTACTATTGACACTGGTCATTGTGTTTATGCTGGGAAGCCAAACCTCCTGTGTTTCTCCTGGATCCATTCCATTGCCTCCCCGTCCCCAAGATAACTGCTAGCAGAAACTTTGTGTCTGTCATTCTTCTTACTGAGCATTTGTACATAATTTGATACAAGTTTTTACTTTCTGTGAACAACATCATAGAACACATGTTCTTTGGTGATCTGCCCTCCAACACACATGCAGTAATTCATTCATTGTCATTTTTTAAGTAATAATGCATTACTTTTCACTGCTATTTAGTATTCTAATGTATGATTATATGATAATTTATCCCTTCCCTGGTCACTTGCATGATAAAAAGGGCTCAGGATAGCTCAGTGGTAGAGTACCCCTAGGTTCAGTCCCCAGCTCTGTGCTACTGAATAGCAGCATCGTAGAATCTCTGGTTGTATGGAGGATCCAGGGTGCTGCTCGTGAGCATACAGTGACTAAGGCTAGGCACCATGATCGGTCCCTGCACAATGCATCAGAATTGTTCATTGTCACATTGAATTCTTCATCCTTAAGTGTAGTAAAACCTACTAGGGGGCTGGGGATGTAGCTCAGTTGCAGAGTGCTTGCCTGGCACGCTCAAGGGCCACCTTCTGTCTGCCATGCTACAGAATCCAAACAGCCAACCTGCTGTGTACATGTTGTGAGATTGAATGGGAGGACTGAAAAGTGCTTAGGGAGCAATGCCCAGACCCTGGAAGCAGTCATTAATCTGAATTTCATTTTTTCACACTTGAAATGATGCTAACCATTGACTTTTTTTTCCCCTTTGGTACCAGGAGTTGAACGCAAAGGTGCTGGGTTCTACATTCTTGGGCGTTTTTAACATTTTTCAGTCTGAAATGGTTGCTTAGGGCCTTGCTAACTTACTGAGGCTGGCTCAAAATTATGATCCTCTTGCCTCAGCCTCCCAAGTTGCTGGGATTATAAGTGTATGCCAGTGCTCCCAACTACAACCTTTGACTCTTAATATGAAAGATGATTAATAGCCAGTGTCATGAAAAAGATGACATACACAATACAGTCAAAACAGATACAGTTTTGCTTTTAAGCTTAATCATCTGTTGATAAGCTCTTCAAAGGGATCCCTAACCACAGCTGTTATTTAAAGATGCAAAAGAGCCCACAGATCTTCCCCAGCAGAGCCAGTCTAAATATGGGATAAATATCAATGACTATAATCTCTGTACTATAATCTCACTTTCTATATAAAATTACTAGCATAGAAGCAGCGCGATCCAATGCAACCTGAAAAAATAAACTGAGGTTAAAAATATGTTAGCATTGTTCAATATTTGTTAGAGAGCTTCTAGACATTTCAGAGGATGTGCTAGCTGACAAAATAGCCGTAGTTAGATTTGACTTTGCTTCATATTTTTTTGTTTTTGTTTTTGTTTTTATTTTGTTCTTGTTTTCCCTTATGTGAAACTGAAGTTCATCTACTGAAACAAGGTAGCTTGAGTTCTATGTGCCAGCTGTTTAGTTTAGGACTAGAAATAGGATTTTTAAAATAATGTTACTTTAAATAGAAATCAGAGCATAAGAGACATTCCTCATACGGAATGCTGTTCCACTAATCCAAATAAAGTAGCTTTTAGGATACTTTTTTTTTTTTTAATCATTAAAGTCTTTTGAAATTGTAATCTTAGTTCTGAGTACTTGGGAAGAAAAAGCTTCCAAGATTAGTCAAATTCTTTCATTCCTTCTTTTTCCCTTCTGCAGGAGTAGACAGTCTCTCAAAGTTCGAGAACATAAAGTATTGGGACCATATGTAGATGGTTTATCTCAACTGGCTGTCACCAGTTTTGAGGTAAGTGTCATTTCTTAAAAATGTTACCACAAAAACTGGCAGTGAATCAGGGACTGGGATGTGGGGTGTGTTTTCACATGATCCTTTACAGTACAGAGATACCATTCGTGGCCCCAGAACACAGCACCAGACTGCCCCGTGCCCAAGGTTTCACAGTGTGGCCAGAGGCCTAGCAGTTTGAGGTCCACTAGTACCACGCTGTGGAAACAGTTCTCCCTTGATTCCTCGGGAGGTCCTTCCAGACAGACCCAGCAGTCTCGGCTGTACTTGGTGTCACTCAGCCCTATCTTAGGAGGGTCTCCTGTCTTGGTTTCTGTCTCCTTTAACTTGTGGCCCCTTTGTCTGACTCACTCCTCCATTGACTGACCTGTTCTCCTTTTCCTGCTTCTTGACTTTTATGCCTGGACTCAATAGTCTGTCCTTATTACTATAATCATTGTTTTGAAAATCTCATAACAAACTCCTGTCTCTATTGCTGAAGAATGCAAATGAATGAATGAATGAATGAATGGATAATGGATGGTGAATGAATAGATGAATGAATGAATGGTGAATGAGTGAGTGGATGAATAAGTGAATGAGTGGATGAATGAATAAGTGAATGAATGAGTGAATTAATGAATGAATGAGTGAATGAATGAATCCCTGTACTTGTACTATCTGAGGGATGTGGCTGACCTGCTGTCACTTCAGACTTGGTATGACTGAAATTGATCTGGGAGCTGACTCTAGGTATTTGAATGAAGATACAAATGGTGTCTCTCAGGTTAGAAAGAGGTCTCAGTCCTCCCTTTGAACACAGTAGGATTCTGAAAGGAGCAGGAACTTCCCTGATGTAGACACTCATCCTGCACCTTCACTAAGGTGATGTCCGTAGCTCAGTGTGACATCAGTGTGGCTGTCATCCTGTAAGAGCCAGGAGCTCTTGATTTGCATCCCAGCTCTGCCTCTTAGGACATGTGGGGAAAGTTATTTGACCTCCATGAATTTTAGCTTCTTTGTGTATAAAATCAGGAAAGTGCTTGCTTCGTAAGGTTCATTCAGCCAACACTGGCTAAGACCTCATGGTTTCCAGGGGTGTACAGGTGTAGAGATGACTCAGGGACCCCCTGCCCCCTCAGGTTGGAGGAGAAGCGGGAGGTGGGCCGCTAGCAGGCTGCGGAGGGCAGGAGACTTAGGGCTCAGTCGCACAGTTATCCAGTATCTGGAGAACTCCATATATGGGGGCTCTCCTTGGAACTTTCCAAGGAGAAACGGGGGTCCTAACAGGAGAAGGAGACTCCTGGTAAAGGCAAAAAAGAAGCGGGTAAGCGTTTAATATACTAGAAGGTTCTGAGGGGGTGGGAGCTCAGCGGTCTTCACGGTGGGCGTGGCGAGGCCAGAGGGACCCTGGTGAGGACACGCCCCGGGCACAGGGCTGCGCTCTCGCTTCTGCTCAAGATGTGTCCCCTATGCTTGCCTCCAGGATATCGAGTCTTTGATGTCCGAGGGAAATAAGTCGCGAACCGTAGCCGCCACCAACATGAACGAGGAGAGCAGCCGCTCCCACGCCGTGTTCAACATCATCATCACCCAGACGCTGTACGACCTGCAGTCCGGGGTGAGCGCGGGTATCCACGTGGGACAGGTATCTAGGTGGATTCAGCGGCTGGGAATTTTTTTATTGACTCTTTTGCTTACTCAACAAGCTGCTGTTCTTAAAGCATTTAATTAGTTTGGGGTTCCTTTCATACCCTCGTTTTTTTTAAAAGTTGAATTTTGTGCGTAAACTCCCTAAAGAACACGAGGCCATCACTATGTAGTTTCTAATATGTATCCATTCACCCTGGAATTACTCTAAAAAGGACCAGTCTACTCAGAGTCCTTGAGGGGCATTAAAGTGAAAACCATGACATTTAGCCGATGGGTCACACTCGGAAGAGGAGGGATTTGACCCAGGTATGCAGGAATCCTCGTGTCCCCCAACTCCTTAATGGCGTATAGAGTCTCCTGCTTCTCACTAGATTCTGGGAAGCTGGGTGGGAGCTATCCAGCTGCATTTCCCCAGCAATTCGAATTTGGGCTGTGACGTTTAACGCTGGTTCCGCTGACTCTGGGACCTGCTGGAGGTCCTGAGACCTCGCTGTGGGGAATGGGCGCCAGGTACCTGCGCAGTGGCCCCGGGTCCTGCGCAGCCCTGTGGTTTCTGCACTAACGCGCGCTGTTTCTCTCTTGTTCCCGGCGCCAGAACTCGGGAGAGAAAGTCAGTAAGGTCAGCCTGGTAGACCTGGCGGGCAGCGAAAGAGTGTCCAAGACTGGAGCTGCTGGCGAGCGACTGAAGGAGGGCAGCAACATCAACAAGTAGGGACCTGTGTTGGCGGATGAGGGTCTTCTTGTCTCGGGTTTGTTGTGTTGTGAGGATGCGAAGGTTCCCAGCAAGGCGGCTCCAAGCTTTAGTACCCTGGGGTGGGGGAAGTCAACACCTGCTCTAGGAAGATGCACAAAGATACCCCAAGGCTTTTGCATGCCGTCATCTCCACAGGCATCCCCTGATTAGGGTGGTTCCGCTGGGCATTTTCATCTTCAAGGGAAACCTACATCAGATTTTGAATTTGAATCTCTTTCCGAGGCTAGCAACATGGGGTCTCATCTTCTCAGGACACTGGACAGTGGCAACCACTGAGCCCAGTGGCTTGATCACACTGATGATGGGGCATGGGGCAGGGGGTGCATAACTGAGAGTCTGTCAGGGCTGTGCTGCTGAGCCAGCGTGTTTGGTAGGTTAGGAGTGTTAGGTGCGTTTTCTTTTTTTTCTCTAGTACTAGGGATTGAACCCAGGGGCGATTTACCTACCACTGAGCCACAAATTACCTACCACTGTGAATGAGGTGAATGGATACATATTTTATTCTTTTGAGACAGTGTCTCACTAAGTTTTTGAGGATCTTACTAAGTTGCTGAAGCTGTTCTCCAATTTGCAATCCTCCTTCCTCAGCCTCCTGGGTCGCTGAGATTGTAGGTGTGCACCACTGTACCTGGCTGGATTAAATGCATTTTTGACTCACCATGTTTTCAATTTAGGGCCTATTGAGATCTAGTCCCTGTCCAAAGTCAAGGAGCATCTGTAACAATCTTGGGTAAAATGCGGATCACAATTTTATAAATCAAATCATGCCAGCGGTGGTGGTGGTGGTGGTGCACGTCTGTAATCCCAGCAGTTTGGGAGGCTGAGGCAGGAGGATCACAAGTTCAAAGCCAACCTCAGCAATTTAGCAAGGCCCTGAACAACTTAATGAGACCCTGTCTCAAAAAAATAAACAGGAATGGAGATGTTAAGCATCCCTGGATTCAATCCCCAGCACTAAAAAAATAAATTGATTAATCACATCACATCTTAAATCAACTTGGCTTGTTCTGAAAATCTGCTTTGAATCCTTTGTGAGGCTACTGCTGTTTAAATATCATGGAAAAGTTTAACAACAGCTGGACTGTGGCCAGACTGGAATCTTGCTGTTTGCCTTGAGTGCCTGTAGTGAGCCCAGGGCTGCAGTAAAGGCTGAAAGGGTGCAGAGCAGTGGGGGTTTGTCAGGGAGATGGAGGAGATGCAGGCATTCAACACAGAGGGCTCTACGGGGGCAGAGATGAGGTGCATGGTCAGCAGGGTCCCAGGCAGCTCCGGGCATTCAGGGAGAAGTCTTTGCTTTCCAATTTGAGGTGGACCTGAGTTTGTATCTAAAAATGTATACTTGGGCCAGACTGCCTGTGTTTAATCCCACCCCCCACCACTTACTGGGTGGGTGCATCCTGAGCCAGTGATTTTTGCCAGTCTGCCTTACTTTTCTCGTCTGTAAAATGAGAATAACAATGGTGCCTATTTCATAGAATTATTGAAGATGAAATGCCTGTAATGCACTTGGGAAAATGCCTAGCATGTATGAATACTACAGGAGGAAGGATGAACTGTTCTAGTTTTGGTTTTTTTGTTTTGTTTTTTGGTACTGGGGATTAAACCTCTGGGTGCTGCTTTACCATTGAGCTACCGTCCCAGATCTTTTTATATATTTTTAAATTTTGAGAAGGGCTCTCACTAAGTTGCTGAGGATCTCACTAGACTACGAAGGTTGACCTTGAACTTGTGATCCTCCTCCTCTAGCCTCCTCAGTCTCTGAGATTACAGGTGTGCATGACTACACCCAGCTGTTCTAGGTTTAATTTCATAATAAGCACAATCACTATCATTATTCCAAGTTCTACACAAAGTAGATTCGTCTATACTTGTAATCTGTTTCTGTTGAGCCATCAAAACTTTTTATGGGGTTTTGTCTAGGACAGAATGGGACAAGAGGAAATATATTCAGGAATGATCATACAGCTTTCATTTTACAGTGATGTTGGCATTGTATTTTGCTGTGATTTGAGTATACGAAAGTTTAAAAAATTAAACGTGAAGCACTATTACGTCCTCTATCAGACAGACAGAGCTGCAGTTGCTGGACAGACTGCTGCTTTAGGAGTTAATCTTCCAGGCATCCTGTCTCCTGCTCTGACAACAAGGGATTTCCCTGTGTCTCATGACAAAGCGTGGCCGGATTCCAGGCGGGCACCGCAGCTCTGTTCCACCATGTACTCTGTGGGAATGCGCAGCCAGGGGCGGGAGGGCGGGGAGAAAGTCACCTGTCCTGGACCTTCATTTTCTGGTACTGAGCTCGGCCAACCCTTTGTCTGCTGGAGGGCTAGGGGACCAACACAGGAGGCTCTTGCTGTGAGCTCGTGAAAATTTTGAGCTTGTGTGTACAGCTGGTTTATCAGACTCTCTCTAGTGCCAGGTGCTATTCTGAATGCTCCTTGTATAGTGGTACATCTGATTTTCCCACTGGCATTGTGAGATGGGTCCTATCAACACAGTGTACAGATGTACAATCAAGTCAGAGAGCACTTCCATACTGTCTCGGGAGCCGGAAGCCCTAGCACACACCTGTAATCCCAATGACTGAGGCAGGAGGCTCACAAGTTCAAGGCCAGCCTGGGCAACCTAGAGAGACCCTGTTTTAAAATTTAGAAAAAATAAAAAGGGCTGGGGGTGTAGCTCAGTGGTAGTGTGCCCCTGGGTTCAGTCCTTTGTACCAAAGAATAATGATGGTGATATGTCTTGGGTCCCCAAGCTCCAAGTGCAAGAGTTGGATTAGATTGTATGCAGGCTCCGGGGCCCAGACTTACCCACTGTGCTGCATTGGGGTGCCCAGGCATTCTTTTTTCCTGGAAGAGGCTACTTGAAATTTTTGTTCTGGAGTAACTAGCAATGGTGTCCCTTTAAATTTGAAACCTGTGTTTTATAGTGTCTCTAGCCAGGTGCATTGGTGCACATTTAAAACCACAGCTACTTGGGAGGCTTAGGCCAGAGGATGACAGAGGCCAGCCTGGGCAACTCAGTGAGACCCTGTCTCAACAAACAGCTGAAGAGGGCTATCCGTGAGGCTCAGTAGTAGAGCACTTGCCTAGTGTGTGGGAGGTCCTGAGTTCAGTCCCCAGCACTGCTAAAAAAGAAAAAGATGTATTGTCCCTAACTAGATGACCTCAAGGCCGTGTAATAACATGATTTACTCCTCCAGCAACTGGCTATTTCAGTTAAGGACTTGTTCAATTAATATAAATCTCTTAGCATCAAAAGTCTTTCCTAATGTACCTCTTAGATCTTTTACAAATGTATGTGAGTATTCCTTCCTCCTAGTTTATGAGATAGGCCCTTTCTTTTGAGAGCTCCTGATAGTACTCAGAGCACTTTCACAGGCATTATTTGATACATAGCTCCCAACAGGTATTTTTATCTCTGTTAACGTAAGAGTTTTTTAGAGATGAGAAAAATTGAAACTTGGAGACATCAAATAACATAAATGCAGGCCCATCAGGCATTAACTGTGCCTCTCCTACGTGTCTGGCACTGCAGTCGATGCGAGGATGCAGAAGGAATCTGGACGTTGTGGTAGGTAGCAGAATACCTCCACCACAAACATGTCCTCCTTCTGACCCCCAGAACCTGTATCCATGTTACCTTCAACGAGAGCCTTTGCAGGTGTGATCAAGGTAAGGCTGCTGGCTCGGGGAGATTATTGAGGTAGGCCCCACGTAGCTGCACGTGTCCTTACAAATAAAAAGAGGCAGAGTGACACGGGGTGGGAACGACTTGACAGCATTGTTTGCTGGAAGACAGAAGGATGAGGACAGCTTGGGGGAGCTGGAGCAGGTCAGCATTCTCGTCCTCCCTTGAAGCCTCCAGTAGGAGCGTGGACCCGCCAACACGGGATATTTTGGACACCCAGGATCAAGGACTGCAGGATTAAGAAGTTAGGAGTGTCTCCTTGACTGGACGGGGGTCAGGGTCACTTCCCTCTCTGAGGCTGCCTCTGCCTTTATGTGCATTTTCAATCTCTACTCACTTTTTATTGTGTTTTATTTGGGGTGCTGTCTCAGAGCCCTCTTGGGAGGTCCAGTAATGCACACACTGAGGTAACTCCTAAAATCCCAAGTATTCTGAACTTGAAGACACATGTAGACCCAGGGTTTTCAGAGAAGAGATATAGACATGCACCTTTAGATTCCGTCTTGGTGGATGTGTGTGAACACTGACGAGCCGCGGCAAGACATGCAGTAAGACTGGCCTCAGGAAGGAGGGAGAAGGGTACCTGGGTGGCTGTGTTAGAGCGCTGAGTACCAGGGACACGGGGTGGCAGTGGGCGCCCGGGTGTGTAACCGTGGATGCACCGGGAAGGCTCCCACGGCAGGTCCTGGGGGTTCTTGGTCCTATAAGCCTTGTGACCTCCCTGGGTCTCACTTTCCTCGTCTGTAACGTGTGGCCAAGGGGACTCCTGGGTGAGTAGTCATTCTGAGGATCAAATTAGTTGCTTTTTGTAAAGCGCTTGGACCATCAGGAGCTGTGGGTATGAGTGTGTGCTAATAAACAGCTTGACGCTCCTGCCCCGCGGCCCCACACGGGGCTCTCTAAGCCTCATAATCAGCGGCCGGTTGAGTGTTAGAACTCAAAGAGATCTCTGACACATTTCCTAAGTGTGTCTGTCTCTTCTTGGCGTCTTTGGGTGGAGCCTAAGCAGTCCTCTTTTGGACCCACCAGGACTTCACCCAGGCCTGCGTCTGCCTAATGGGCCGTGGATTTAAAAGCTTCACCTCTTAAGAGCGCTAGAGCACACCGAGCCCTTCATTTGAAGAGCCGAGGTGCTGTGCGGCTGTGATCGTGCAGAGGGAGGGTGCGGGCCTTGTGCACAGGGTCTTCTTGGGGGCCGCGTGTGACGCCAGCCTGCTGCTCCTGGGCTGCCGAAGGTGGAGTGAGAACTCTCTCCACGGAGTCT